AGCAAAACTTGACAAATGGGATTACATCAAGCTACAAAGCTCTTATATAGGGCCTAAGCACTATGGCCCAACAGGGCAAGCTGCCACTTGCAATGTCAGCATCCTATAATGGAGCACTGGATCTTCCTCTCTCATGCGTGCTTGTACTTGCTCTCTCCCTTTCAAATAAATAAACAAACAAATAAATCTTTTTTCTTTTTAAAAAAGCTTCTACACAAAGAAAGAAACGATCAATAGAGTGAAGAGACAACCTACAGAACATGAGGAAATATTTGCAAACTATTCAATGAGGGCTTAATACCTAGAATATATAATGTAATCAAATAATTCAAACAGAAATCAATCAAATAATCTGTTTTTTTTTTAATGGGTAAATGAACTGCACAGACATTTCCAAAAAGAGGATATCCAGATGACCAACTGAATATGAAAAAATGCTCACCATCATTAATTATCAAGAAACTGCAAATTAAATCGCAATGCAGTATCATCTCACTCCAGTAAGAATGACTATTAAAAAGATCAAAAGCAGCTGGCACTGTTGCGTAGCAAGTAAAGCCATCACCTGCACTGGCAGCATCACATATGGGCGCTCATTTGGGTCCTGGCTGCTCTACTTCCAATCCATCTTCTTGATAATGTGCCTGAGAAAGCAGAGGAAGACGGCCCAAGCCCTTGGTCCCCTGCACCCATGTGGGAGAACTGGAAGAAGCTCCAGGCTCCTGGCTTCGGACCACACCAGCCCCAGCAGTTGTAGCCATTTGGGGAGTGAACCAGCAGATGGAGGACCTCTCTGTGCCTCTGCCTCTGCCTCTCTGTAACTCTGCCTTTCAAATAAGTGAATATCCTTTAAAAGAAAAAAAAAAAAAAAAACCAAAACCAACCAACAAGATAATTGCTAGCGAGGAGTCAAAACAAAGGGAAATCTTCTATTCTGAGGTGGAAATGAAAATTAGCACAGCTATTACGCAAACAGTATGCAAGGCCTAAGAGAACTAGGAAGAAGACTACCATATGATCCAACCTTCTCACTACTTGTGTATATATCCCAAGGCATTAAAATCAGTATATCCTTCCTCTCCACCTGCATGTGTATTGCAGCAGAATTCAGGAAAGTTAAGATTTGCAATCATCCTAGATGTCATTAATGAATGAATGGATAAAGAAATGGTGATATACGCACACAGTGGAATATCACTGAGCTGCAAAAAAATGAAATTCTGTCATCTGCAGCAACAGAGGTGAATTGGAGGACTTTACGTTAAGTAAAATATATTAGGTACTGAAAGAAAACGACTATATGTTCTCACTTAAATATGGAAGCTAAAAGGTCGATCTCACAGAAACAGAGAATGGTAGTTACCATAGCCCGAGAAGGATGGGGAGAAGATGGTTAATGAGTATAGGGGTGCAGTTTGACAGGTGGAATAGGTTCTAATGTACACTAGGATAACTATGGTTGACAACAACTCACTGAATATTTCAATGTAGCTAGTAAAGAGGACTTTGAACGTTTCCAACATGAACAAATGATAAATGTATGAGATAACATGCCAGTTACCTGATCATTACATATTGCATACATGTACTAAAATGCTACACTGTACTCCATAAATATGTACAATCATATGTGTCAATTAAAATAAAATTTTAAATAACTTCAGACAAGATGTCCCTAATCTGAAAATCCAAATTGTTCCAAAATTCAAAACTTTTTTCATCACCAACCTGACACCACAAGTGGACTTGATGTGATAGGTTGCAGTCAAAATGCAGCTACACTAACAATACTGTATAAAGTCATATTTGTGCTATGTGTTAAGAGGTGTATATGCAACATAAATGAATTCTATGTTTAGATCTGGGCCCCCTACCCAAGATATCTCATTACATATGTGCATATCCAAAAAAAAATCAGAAATTCAGAAAGCAGGTTGGATGAGGGATATTCAAACTCTACAGTACATAAAACAATAAATTATTGTCACAAGGGTCCATCAGTGATGAGAAATGGAAGAATAAGGATCCAAGCCATGTAGTTAAACATGTAAGGGTTAACTGTCATCACTGCGGATGGGAGGACACGTCAGTGCCTCCAGCAAGAACATATGAGTATTTGAAGAGAACACAGAATGGTTTAGGCAAGACATACCAATCAATCAACATACCAATCAAAACAATCAATGTCAGTTTGTGCAATCTACAGAGGTCACCTCTATAACTTTATATTAAATGTGGGAATCGGCAAAAAGTTAATATTTTACAGGTTTTAAAATACAGATATTTAGGATGAATATTTGGCCAAGCAGTTTAGATGATACTTGGAATATCTGCATCCTACATACGAGTGCCTGGGTTCAAACCCTGGTTCTACTCTGGATTCCAGCTTCCTGCCTATGAGCACCCTGGGAAACAGCAGGTGATAGTTTAAGTAGTTAGATCCACGCCACCCACATGGGATACCCAACATGAATTCCCAGCTACTGGTTTCAGCCTGGCCTTGCTCCAGCTGTAGTGGGCATTTGAGGAGTGAGCCAGTAGATGGGGGATCTCTCTTGGTCTCTTTGCCTTTCACATAAAATAAATGAACAAATAAAAATCTTTCTACAGAAGAAAATAGTTATAACAAGCAAGTATGGCTCAATGAGTTGTGGGAAATCAAAAAAGAAAAGCTAGGAAATTAAGTAATTAGGATGCATGTCCTTCAAATTATAAGCATTGACTATTCCTTTTTAAAGAGCACTTTAACAAACAGTAGAACAAGTGCTTACATTGTCAAGAGCCTCAATATAAGCTTATGAGGGATTTAAAAAACTTGTTATGCAAATGAGTACTTGAGAGAAGGAGAAAATTTTGAGTGACAGTAGGAATTCAGAAATCACTGTATCTCAAACAATCTAAATAGGATGAAGATGACATGTTTGGAAAGTTGTGCTAAATGATCAAAAAGTGATTCCACTGATGATGCAGACACTGACATTAAATACACATTGAAAGAATGTGAATAAAATTAGATCATTAAATGTAAGAATAGGCAAAAAATTAACATTTTATAGGGTTTAACTAAACTTATAAATATGGATGTACATTTGATTATTTAGTCTACAGCCTTAAAAATTTATATTTTAAAATGGATTTATATTTCAGATCTCCTTTTAGTTGGATAAGTTAAAATTTTTTCTTTTTCTTTTAAAGATTTATTTTATCATTTGAAAGTCAGAGTTATGGGGTGGGGTGGGTGAGAGGGAGACAGGGAGAGAGATCTTTTATCCACTGGTTCACTCCCCAAATGGCTCTCACAGGGCAGATACTGGTGATTGCTTCCTTCTTCCCTCACCCTCCTGCAAATGCTTGTGAGTCCCTCTGCAGGGCAAGGCTTGGTACTACTGTATGTACGGGACCCTGAAGATATCAGGGCTGGGCCAGACCAAAGTGATGAGCCAGGAGCTTCATCAGGGTCTACCAGGTGGGTGCAGGGGCCCAAGCATTTGGGTCATCCTCCGCTGCTTTCCCAGGTGCATTAGCAGGGAGCTGGATTGGAAGTAGAGCAGTTGGGACTTGAACTGGAATCTATATGGAATGCCAGTGTCACAGGTGGCGCCTTTGCTTGCTACTCCACAATGCCAACTATGGAAAATTTTCTTATTATAGAAGAGTATAGCAATAACAATTGCTAACTCTTTAAAAAGGAATTGAGTATTTATGAATATTCACTTGTGGATATAGAAGGGGCCTTCTGTTTGGGTCTAGGCATTTTCAGATACAGGAAAGAGCCTGGGCAAGATGGAAAACACCAATGTCCATGGAGTTCACTGAACAATTTTGCGTCACCTCTTCCACATCCAGGATCATTCACATACTCCAAAAACCTCTGTTCTCTGCCCAAAAGCCCTCTACCAGGAGGAAATCTCCAGGGTCCCATAAAGGCAGTAGCACCACGCTACAAAAGCAGGCACACTTTGTACATCACAGCAGGAAACTTGCAAATTTCAGCAAGGGAACACTGCTGAAGTTGCCTTTTTACAAAATGTCTTTTGGGGCTGGCATTGTGGTATAGCGAGTTAAGCCTCTACCTGTGATGATGGCATGGTTCAAGACACAGCTGCTCCACTTCCAATCCAGCTCCCTCCTAACGCATCTGGGAAAGCAGTGGAAGACAGCTCGAGTCCTTGCGCCCCTGCACCCATGTGAGAGACCCTGAAGAAGCCTTGGGCTCTGGCTTTGGACTGGCCCAGTCCCAGCCTTTGGGCCATTTGGGAATGAATCAGGAGATGAAAAATCTCCCTTTCTCTTTCTTTCTCTCTCTCTCTCTCTCTCTCTCTCTCTGTTCCCTCCTCTCTTTGTAACTCTGCCTTTCAAATACATTTTTTAAAAATAAAACAAAACGTCTTTTTTTATTTGCCTGAATAAACAAAAGTAAAACATTAAAAATGCTAATGAAAGAATTCTTACTGGTTAATCACAATTTTATAAAAAATAAAGTTTACTAGCGAGAGAACTGTATCAAGATAGAATGATTTACTGCCAAGTTGCATAAAGATAGGATTGCAAGTATAATCTTCTAGAGTTTTTTGTAATATATTTAATACAGAGAACACTGTGGATGACCAAGGTATAAATAATACATTTTCAACCAATTTTGCCTAGATTTTCCCTGCCAAATAAATGAGAAACATACAAGAGAGTTTTCCTGAAGGAATTAAAAACAACAACAAAACAAACAGCTCTTCCTTAAAATGAGAAATTAGAAGAAAAACATCACTAAAAAAGCAAAGCAAAGAAACTGTTACAACAGCAAACCTACTGCTATTTTCAAGTCGTATAATACAAAAAAAAAAAAAAGAGCTTATACTTACAGCTCTATACTGTACGGTATATCTTGTAAATAACAGTTAACTATAAAAAAGACCTACTAAATTTTTTTTTCAAAGTTACAGGAGGCAGAGACAGGGATGGGCAGGAAGAGCAGAGGAAGTGGAAGGTCTGTTATGACTCCTTACCATGCTTTCTGTGCCACAGCCATACGGCTGTATCTCCTGGGAATACATACTCCTGGCCAGTCTTGCTTCTTGAGACTCGGCTGGGTCACTGCAGTGCCACTGTGTGCCAAAGTGGGTACCGAAGTGAAGTTCATCCACGGAGGGCACAGGAGTCTCCTCCTGAAGGTGTGATGAGGAATACAAGCCCATGGACTGAAGGTGATCTTGATATAGCTCATAGTCTTCATCAACAAGCATTTCTCTTTCCTCACCCACATCCTGCAATCTAGGAGTCAGAAATTCATGCATTTCCCAGGCCTCCTTGTTGTGGTCTATTTCTTTTTGTTGGGATTGGAAAGACTTTCCCAAATCTATAAATGGCTCATCCACAAGTTCTTCTTTAAAATATGGCTCATCTCTAAATTCCTGTAAATAAAAGTTGCAAAAAATGTTAAACAACACCTGTCTTAAGGTGGCACTATACATAGTCACTGGGAAACAAAAACACTGACTTCACTGTGAAATACTTTCTTATATGCCCATACACAGCTAGCATGTACATAAGCTGCATGTTTCCACTACAAACAAGGAGAAATACACCCTCATTTCTATATAACTGCCAGCCAGAAAGAGAACACACAGTAAAAATAAGAGGGAAAAATCTGTCCTTACCAAAATGAAGGGTTATTCTAATCATACATTAACCACCTGAACATTCTCTATGAGAAATACAAATTTTATTAAACCGCTCACAATATTTCATCCATGTCCCTATTACAAAAGGTGTTATATAAATATGCATGCACTTGACACTGTTACTTAAGAAAGCTAAGACTTAAAAGGTCAGGATTTTCAAGCTTAAGTAATCAAAAGAAATTATGGCTCTGTGAATCTTCAAATACCATTTTTTACTTTGAGTCTCTTTTATGATACTTGTATATCATATATTAGAAATATATTTTTATCTGTGTTCAAAATATGTAACAAAGGAATGAATACAGTATACTTTTAAATTAATTTATATTTCACTAATCAGAATAGCTAATACATACCACTAAATCTAACAGTGCAGAACTTTGTTGACTTCCTGGCTAGTGCCTGATGGAACATATGGATTTGCTAAGCCTTCGACTTAACTCTGGGGCACCTCTGGGCCCCAGGTAAATGATGCAAATTCCTTCTAAGAGATCAGTGGCAATTCCTGTTTTAAGTCTTATTCAATAAGTGTTAGCAAATATAAATTCCTGACAAAAATCTACTCTTCCCCATTGATTCCTCCCTATAGCTAAAGATCCTTGTGGTGAAGCTTTTAAATTGACACTGTATAATAAATACTGCAACTTGGTTATTTCCAAAAAAAGATCTGTCAGAGGACACAACAGAACACACCACACGGTTAAGAAATTAAAAAAAAAAAAAAAAATGTGTCTCAGCTTGAGATGTGTTTACACACAAATACCAGGAATATCACCAGGCAGTTGTTATCACATGAAATACAACCACTATCTAACTGGACAGAGTAACAAGAGCACAATTCAGCTTTTAATAAGAAAAGGAAAAGTGGCCAGCGCCGCGGCTCACTAGGCTAATCCTCCACCTTGTGGCGCTGGCACACCGGGTTCTAGTCCCAGTCGGGGTGCCAGATTCTGTCCCGGTTGCCCCTCTTCCAGGCCAGCTCTCTGCTGTGGCCAGCAAGTGCAGTGGAGGATGGCCCAAGTACTTGGGCCCTGCACCCGCATGGGAGACCAGGAGGAGCACCTGGCTCCTGGCTTCGGATCAGCGCGGTGTGCCGGCCGTGGCGGCCATTGGAGGGTGAACCAACGGCAAAAAAGGAAGACCTTTCTCTCTGTCTCTCTCTTTCACTGTCCACTCTGCCTGTCAAAAAATATCATCTCAAGAAAGCTTTCAGCAGAACCAATGATTGTAAAGGAACGGAAAGCTTCAAAACACATTTTCTAAAATTAAACCATAAAGCAGGGTCGGACTAAATAACTTTTCTTGAGAAAATATTTACAAAGAAATTGTTTTTGTATATCGTCTTTTAAATGCAGGTTTATTTTCAATGATATGTTCCAATCCCCCAAAAACCTTTAGAAACATATTAATAATATGAAATAAGGTATGTTGATTCTTTGACAATGCCTTACATCTTGCCTGTATTAGTAAGAGAAGCACTCGGATACAGCAAGGAAAATACTTAACTAAACAAAGTTATAAAAGACAGAGGGGACTTAATTTGTATCATTTTAGCCAAAAGAGTGGGGATAAGCTTCATCTTCTTCACAGAAAATTTAGCTCACAGTAAATCATTCAAATGGGAAATAAATTCACTAAATACCTGGGGTGCTTCAAGTATTAAAGATGAATTTATATCATGAATTGTTTCTGAAGGCTCAGTCTTATCTTCATTATTGCTTGAATGTAAAGTGTAACAACTTTCTTCTTTATCATCTTCCTGAAAATATAAACCAGTTTATAATCAAGAAAATACCTTAGCATAAGCCAGACCCTAAAAGACAAATGTTGTGTTTTCTTTGGTTTGCTGTAGCTAATATACAGAGTACAGAAAAATGTAATGTATAGGAGTAAAACTGACATTTGAGATTTGATTACTGTTTAGAGCCCTTGTCTATATTTCTGGGGAACAGTGCTCTTTCTACTTTCTACTTGTTGAGTTCTTTATTTAGTGGGGGATTAAGCCTGTGACTATAAAGTAAATTGAAAGTATGTCATCACACAAGTTAAAAGGAAAAAAAGGAGGGAGGAAGGAGGGTGGGAATGAGGGACGATGGGCGATATCATTATGGGCTTAAAATTCTATATATGGAATACATGAAATCTGTTCTTTTAATAACAAAATAAAGAAAGAAAATATCTTAGTTTCAAACCCTCTTTAGATTAATTCTTTTCTTGTGCAAGTACATGATAAAATTTATGCAACTTGTTTCACTGGAACAAACTTTCATTAATAATTAAGACAGAAAGCCATGTTTAGGTCAAAAGTTCTCAGAGAACTTTTGACCTAAAAGTTCTCAGAGATCAAGAAACTCCACAAAAACAAAACCAACAACCCACTTAAGAGATGGGCCAAAGACCTCAATAGACATTTTTCAAAAGAGGAAATCCAAATAGCCAACAGGCACATGAAAAAAGGTTCAAGGTCATTGGCAATCAGGGAAATGCAAATCAAAACCACAATGAGGTTTCACCTCACCCCGGTTAGAATGGCTCACATGCAGAAATCTACCAACAACAGATGCTGGCGAGGATGTGGGGAAAAAGGGACACTAACCCACTGTTGGTGGGAATGCAAACTGGTCAAGCCACTATGGAAGTCAGTCTGGAGATTCCTCAGAAACCTGAAGATAACCCTACCGTTCGACCCAGCCATCCCACTCCTTGGAATTTACCCAAAGGAATTTAAATTGGCAAACAAAAAAGAGGTCTGCACCCTAATGTTTATTGCAGCTCAATTCACAATAGCTAAGACCTGGAACCAACCTAAATGCCCATCAACGATAGACTGGATAAAGAAATTATGGGATATGTACTCTTTAGAATACTATACCGCAGTAAGAAACAAGGAAATCCAGTCATTTGCAACACAATGGAGGAATCTGGAACACATCATGCTGAGTGAAATAAGCCAGTCCCAAAGGGACAAATACCATATGTTCTCCCTGATCGGTGACGACTGACTGAACACCAAGAGGGAAACCTGTTGGAGTGAGGTGGACACTATGGGAAATGGTGGCTTGATCAGCATAGCCCTGACTGTTAATGAACAACTAAATACATTATCCCTCTTAGTAGTTTTTTTATCTGTTCTACTTAATATGACTGGTTTAGATCTGTAATTGATGCACAGTTATTCTTAAGTGTTGAAAATTAACTGAAATGTGATCCCTGTTGAACATGGTGGTGGGAATGGGAGAGGGAAGAGATGTATAATTTGGGACATGCTCAGGCTGACTTGCCCCAAGTGGTGGAGTTGGAAGCATACCAGGGGATTCCAATTCAATCCCATCGAGGTGGCATGTACCAATGCCATCTCACTGTTCCAGGTGATCAGTTTCAGTTCACAGTTGGTCATGGTGAAGGGACTGGGAGTCAAAGGGAGCACATAGACAAGTCTAGTACCTGCTAACGCTAACTGATGGAGTAAATAAAGGGGAGAGTGATCCAACATGGGAAGTGAGATACTCAGCAGACTCATAGAATGGCAGATGTCCTAAATAGCACTCTGGCCTCAGAATCAGCCCTAAAGGCATTCGGAGCTGGCTGAAAAGCTCATGAGAGTATTTCAGGCATGGAAAGCCAAGACACTCTGGCAAAAGATCTCTGCGAGTGAGATCCCAGTGGAAAGAACAGGCCATCAAAGAAGGAGGTACCTTTCTCTGAAGGGAGGAGAGAACCTCCACTTTGACTATGACCTTGTCTAAACAAGATAAGAGTTGGAGAACTCAGAGGGCTTCCATAGCCTTGGAAACTCATGACTGGAGCATAGGGAGATTACTGATGCCATAGACAGGAGTGTCAATTGGTAAAGTCAACAACAGGAGTCACTGTGCACTTACTCCTCATGTAGGATCTCTGTCCTTAATGTGCTGTACATTGAGATTTAATGCTATAACGAGTACTCAAACAATATATTTCACTTTGTGTTTCTATGGGGGTGCAAACTGTTGAAATCCTTACTTAATGCATACTAAACTGATCCTCTGTTAAAAAAAAAAAAAAAGAAAGAAATTATCAATTCCCAACTTGACTCTCACTGGGATTAAACATGACAATAGGTCTGCTCTGATTTCATCATCATTTAAAAAAATCATCTATTATTTTTCACTTTATGTTTCTGTGTGGGAGCAAACTGTTGAAATCCATACTTAATGTATACTAAGCTGATCTTCTGTATATTAAGATAATCGAAAATGAATCTTGATGTGAATGGAAGGGGAGAGGGAGTGGGAAAGGGGAGGGTTGTGGGTGGGAGGGACGGTATGGGGGGAAAGCCATTGTAATCCATAAGTCGTACTTTGGAAATTTATATGCATTAAATAAAAGTTAAAAAAAAAAAAAAAGTTCTCAGATCTCTTTTTAAAGTACTCCTGAAGGAAAAATCAGGAGCAGGCATTTGGCATAGTGGTTAAGACACTTCTTAGGGTACCCAAATTCCATACTGGAGTGCTTGGGTTGAAGTCCTGGCTCCACTCTTCATTCCAGCTTTCTGCTACTGACCACTCTGGGAAGCAGCAAGTAACGGCTCAGGTAGTTGGGTCCCTGCCACCATACCCATGGGGGAGACCCAGACTGAGTTCCAAGCTTTTAGCACTGGCCCAAGCCAATGCAGGTATTTAGGGAGTGAACCAGTGGATAGAAGATTCTTTCTCTCTACCTTTCAAATACAAGTAAATAAAAATTTAAAGGCAAAAAAAGAAAAATCACTCTCTCAGGAAGAGACCCTATCTATATAAATATAGTTATCTAGTTATCTATGTACCAAACATAATTTAAGTACTTAAATATATTAAACATGTTAATTATCATATTGACATATACTCCAAGAAGTAGGTGCTGATTATTTTACTGATGAATAAAAGGGGGCACAGTAATATGCCCAGCATTACATAATTAGTTACACACCCAGAATTTAAACCTGGCTGTCTACTCCAGAGCCTGTGTTCTCAATTACCCTGACATGCAATCCCTCTTACAGATGAGCAAAATGGGTTAAATGAGTTAAATGAGGTTAAAGGTTAAAGGAGTGCACCAAGGACACACAGCCTTGCTAATCAGAGCACTGAGCAACGCCCCAGCTGTCTGGCTCCAGAGCTCCACTGGGAGTTTGTCCTCTTAGTTCTGAAGACACCACGCAATCTTTAAAGTCAGTTCATTCTTTTTTGGGGATATATATTTTGATGTATATATTTGATATATATTTTGGGGATGTATATTTTGATGTATATATTTGATACATATTTTGGGGATGTATATTTTGATGTAAGTTTATAGAAAAGAAATAGAATAGTGGAAATAGAAATATATATAATATATAAATAGAAATATTTGTGGTTAAGAAGGTATATTATATAAATATATAACTATGTAATACAAGACAATAAAAAAATTTTGTTCCTCTAACCATTATGTATTCATAGTCTTTCTGCTCCAACTGATACTGGGTCTTCTTTCATATTCTCTACCCCACTGTGGACTAAGGAAATGCTCGGTGTACATCAGCTGATTACATAAGCAGCCAAAAACTGTACCACAAGACAGAAAAAGACTTCAGAGAAGACCCAGGTCAGGTTCTTTGAATCACTATTTATAGCTCATGAGCAGTTTTCCTAACAGAATCAAGATACTTAAAAAGTGAATTAGCAATAAAAGAAAAAAAAAGAAAGTCTTAAAACTGAACTTTCTCTCAATCCCTTTACTGGGCTTCCATTCCTAAGTATCCTGGCAGCCTTGACTCGTTCAAAGAAGCCTGGGGAAGAGTTCCATCCACGATTACTATCTTCCAAAACATTCCAGAGTAATGCTCTGGGGTCCTGGGGTTTCTGCAGTTCTCCCCGTGCCAGAAATAATACAGGACTCCGCAGCCACTTGGTACTAAGCCCTGGATTTTTTTCTTTCTTTCTTTCTTTTTTTTTTTTTTTTTTTTTAAGATTGGCCGGGCACTTGCGAAAACTGCTACAAAGTTAGGATTGTGCTAAGCTCCATAAGACATAAACAGTTTGGGATTTCCCAATGCACCATAAAAATCTGGGAAATAATCAGGTAGAAAAATCTAGATAATGTTCCTGCTATATCCTAAAATACCAAGAAAATGAAGTCCCATGAAAGTATTAATAGCATTGCCCTCAATTTATTAAAAAAAAATCAAACTGGGCACTTCATGCCATCATCATGTTATTGCAATACCCACAGCAAATAGACAAAACGTCAAAAACTTGATTTAGTAATGTATCACGTTCCATTGTGAAAACTTCAAAGTTTCTAATATGTGTAATTTACAGGCATTTTTAAGTATAAATAAATAAAGAATAACAAAGGATTACATGGGGGTCACACTGAGATTTTTCAATGCAAAATACTATATGTAATAACTGAATCTATTTCAATCTCTAGATATAAACCTGCCTTTATCTGAACATAGCCATCTGTATGTCTATCTATGAACATGTGTAGTATGCTATTCATGTAATATATTTTCTGGAATAAAAGAACATGAGAGCTTAGAAAGAACTTCAGAGTTCTCTAGTCTTGTCCAGTGTCTTCAGAAAAAAAAAATCAGCTGGGGCTATGGTACAGCATGGGCATTCCATATGGCCACTGGTTCAAGTCCCAGCTGCTCTACTTCCCATCTAGCTCCCTGCTAATGCACCTGGGAAATCAGCTGAAGGTGGCCCAAGTGCTTGGAACCATGCACCCATGTGAGAGACACAGATGAAGCTCCTGACTCTTGGTTTCAATCTGGCGCAGCCCTGGCCGTTGCGGCTGTTAGGGGACCAAATCAATAGATGGAAGACTTCTCTCTCCCTCTCCCTCTCTGTGACTCCACCTTTCAAATAAATAAATCTTTGAAAAAAAAAGAAAAAGAAATGAAAAAAATATAGGCCCAGAGAAGAAAAGTGATACATTTATTAAGCAAAGCACCAGTATAATAATGTTTCTCAAAACGCAAAATTTGACATCAGAATCATATATGTGATCCATTCATGAGGCAGAGTACTGAAAACAAATCAGAATTACTAAATAAGAATCTCTGGGGGTTGGCACTGTGGCGTAGTAGGCTGGGCCTCTCTCTGGCATGCCAGCATCCCATATGGGTGACAGTTTGTGTCCCAGCTACTCCACTTATGATTCAGCTTTCTGCTATGGCCTGGGAAAGTAGTGGAAGATAGCTCAAGTCCCTGGGCCCCTGTACCCATATGGGAGACCTGGAAGAAGCTCCAGGCTTCTGGCTTTGGATCAACTCAGCTCTGCTATAGTGACCATTTGGGAAATGAACCAGCAGATGGAAGATCTCTCCCTCTCTGCCTCTGCCCCCTGCCTCTCTGTACTCTGCCTTTCAAATAAAATAAACAAATATTGAAAAAAAAAAATCTCTGAAGGTACATCTTGGGAAGCTGTATTTTAACCACTTCCTAGGTAATTATTGCATATCTGAGTATGGAATCCACTGGGCTAACTCACAGCAAAGCTAGAAACAGAGCCCACGTTTCCTGAAATCTATTCCAACACTGTTAGAACCATCCTATATATTTCACACTGCACACAAATCAAACACATGACAACATGGTAACACAAGAATATAGGGGTGGGTATTGTGGCATAGCAGGTAAAGCCGCCACCTGTGATGCAAGTATCTCGTATGGCCGTGGGAGACCTAGAAGAAGCTCCTGGCTTCTGGCTTTGGTCTGGCCCAGCTATGGCTGTTGCAGTCATTTAGGGAGTGAATTAGCAGACAGAAGATATCTCTCTCGTGCTCTCTTTCTCCCTCCCTCCAACTCTGCCTTTCAAATAAATAAATAATCATTAAAAATAAAATGAAACAAAAGCGGAACACAGAGAATTGTGGTGAAAACACAGGATGTGAAATCTGCCCTGTTGAGTTTTTATTCCAGCTGTGTTCTCTACCAGTTACAAGACCTTTGGATAAGTTACTCAATGCTCTGTACCTGGACTAACTCATCTGTTAGTGAGAGTAATAAGACATCCACTTCACTTAAAGTTGCTATGAGGATGAAATTAGCTAAGACACATAAAGGGCTTTAGAGAGTGACTGATATACAATAAGTACTTAATAATAGCTAAAAATTGGCTGAAAACTTTTCACTGTCACATTTTTTTTTTCTCCAGAGATCTCAACAACTTCACTGTAGCCTTCAATGAAGAACAGTGACCTGGCCCAGTACATACGAATAAGCAACATGACAACTTCATGATGGCTTGACCTGGTAGGGGTTCTAGTACTAGGGGTTGCAAGGTGCTGTGTTGGTTAGAAAAGCATATGAAATCTCATCAATCTATGGTTAAAGTGACATGGTTAACTGGCTTTCAAGTTATCATGCCATCTGGACATCATTCCTACATGAAAGTGAAAATACAAAAACACTTGTTTAAATGTCCAAAGAGGAACATGATGAGCACTTAAAAGTCTGTGCGAAAAGCATGGCGATGAAAATGACAGAAGTGGCAGCAGGCTAACTAATAGTATTAGCAGCTAGCATTTATTCTGAATGTGTAAGTCAAGGACCATAAGAAACTTGCCCAGGTTCACAAATGAAGTGAGCAGTGGATCAGGTATTCAAGGCCAGGTGTACATCTGTCCAAAAGCCACATCCTTAGAATAACAAAATTCAACACTTACCACCAAAGGCTTACAGATGCCAAGACGTACAGTGCCTGGTGGCACAGCTTTCAACACTTCCACAGCTTCGGCAAGTGTGGTGTTGTCCAAACAGTACTCATTGACTGAAACCAGGCGGTCTCCAGGCAATAGTTCTCCACTTTTTTCTGCGACACCATCTGCTACCAGGGAGCGGATCACAATCACCGATCTTGTGGGATCCAAAGGGTCCTACCAACCAAGCAAAGAAAACAGCTGAGTCGGTTTGCTGAAAATGAACAGCTGTAGGTGTACTCATGAATCCCATTTGACTTTTCCATGTGCTCAGCATGCTGGTGATGTGCTTCCAACGAGGTAAAATAAATTTAAAATATCACTCCAGACAACCTCACAAATGCCAGCTCCTGGTTTTGTTTGTTTGTTTGTAAAGACTTACTTGTTTATTTGAAAAGTACAGTTACAGGGAGGGAGAAGAGAGGGGGAGGGGAAGAGAGCGAGAGAGAGAATGAGAATCTTCCGTTCACTGGTTCATTCCCCAAATAGCTGCAATGGCAAGAGCTGGGCCAGGCCAAAGCCAGGAGCTTCACCGAGGTCTCTCACATGGGTGCAGGGGCTCAAGCACTTGGGCCATCTTCCATTGCTTCTCCAGGCCATAGCAGAGAGCCGGATCAGAAGTGGAGCAGCTGGGACTTGAACAAGCACCCATAGTGGATACTGGTGCTGCAGGCAGCGGCTTAACCCACTGCGCCACAACAGCAGCTCCAAATATACAATCTTAAAGATTTCAATTCCATAACTGAATACTCAATACATGTAAATTTTTTTTTGAAAGATAGAGTCACAGAGAGGTAGAGAGAGAGAGATCTTCCATCCGCTCACTCACTCCCCAGATGGCTGCAACGGCTGGAGCTGTGCCGATCCGAAGCCAGGAGCCAGGAGCTTCTTCTGGGTCTCCTATGTGGGTACAGGGGCCCAAGGACTTGGGCCATCTTCCACTGCTTTCCCAGACCATAGCAGAGAGCTGGGTCAGAAGAGGAGCAGCCGGGACTAGAACCCGGGGCCCATATGGGATGCCGGCGTTTCAGGCCAGGGCTTTAACCCACAGCACCGGCCCCTCAATACATGTAAATTTAGCTTTTAAATTTTTGGTGACTGATATTTTGTTGGATACCAAGAGGTCTGGGAACAATGGATATTCTCAAGTATTATCATATTGTGAACCAAAGACAAGCTCCTCTTGTGTCACAAGTAGCTCCAAAAGAAGCACATTTTGACAGGTAATAATCCATTCTTCTGCATTCACCAGTGAAGAAACCTCCTATGAAACCACTCAAGTTCAGGAAAGACACAGAAACCAGAGTATTACACTGTATCAAGAATCCATTGTCAAAAACATAACCTAAAATTATAATGTGGTTTAGGTGTTTCCAGATCAGAACTGTAATACATAGAAACTGAGTATGAATTCATGCGGAAAACCAATACGCAACTCTCTCTCACTCACTGGTGAACACCATAGTTCTTCTCATTCAACAATAAAGATAAAAGCAACATATCAATACATGTGGTTAATAAAAACCAATTTTTTTTTTTTTTTTTTGGACAGGCAGAGTGGACAGTGAGAGAGAGAGAAAGGTCTTCCTTTGCCGTTGGTTCACCCTCCAATGGCTGCCGCAGCCGGCGCACAGCGCTGATCCGATGGCAGGAGCCAGGTGCTCCTCCTGGTCTCCCATGGGGTGCAGGGCTCAAGCACTTGGGCCATCCTCCACTGCACTCCCTGGCCACAGCAGAGAGCTGGCCTGGAAGAGGGGCAACCGGGACAGAATCCGGCGCCCCGACCAGGACTAGAACCCGGTGTGCTGGCGCCGCAAGGTGGAGGATTAGCCTAGTGAGCCACGGCGCCGGCAAAACCAATTTATAACTCCACTACTGATTTTTATTTTATATACCAAGTTGAAATACTGCATTTATTCTGTGTTGGGCTTAACATTATCAGTTCATCTAGTCCTTACAACTACTTCAGAACGTAGGGAGATTTATCGTCTGTGTTTTACAGATGAACAAACTGAAGCTCAGAATGCTCAGGAAACAAGGGGGCCAGCATTGTGTTGCCGGACGTTAAGCGGCCACCTGCAATGCCAGCTCCTATAGTGCAGCACAGGTTTGGATACTGGCTATCCCACTTCTGATCCAGCTCCCTGCTAAAGCACCTGGGAAAGCAGCAGAAGATGGCCCCAGTACTTGGGCCTCTGCCACACACATGGGAGACTCTGCTGGAGTTTCTGGCTCCTGGCTTTGGTCTGGCCCAGTCCTGGCCATTGTACCATTTGGGGAGTGAACTGGTGAATGGAAGATCTCTTGCTCTCTGCACCTTTCTGTTAGTCTGCCTTTCAAATAGAGAAAAAAAAAAAATGTAAATTTGAGAGGTGGAATTAGAGAGAGAGAGAGAGAGAGAGAGAGAGGTCTTACATTTGTTGCTTCATTCCCCAAATAGCTGCAACAGCCAGAGCTGGGCTGAGCTGAAGCCAGGAACTTCTGCCAAGTCTCCCACAAGGGTGCTGCTTTCCCAGGCCATAGCAGAGAACTGGATTGGAAATGGATCACCCAAGACTAGAACTATTGCCCATATGGATGCTGCACTGCAGGCGGTGGCTTAGCACACTACAAAACAGCGCTGCCCCCTCATGTATTCTTTTTAAAGATTTTATTTATTTATTTGACAGGTAGAGTAACAGACAGTGAGAGAGAGATAGAGAGAAAGGTCTTTCTTCCGTTGGTTCACCCCCTAAATGGCCGATCCAAAGCCAGGAGCCAGGTACTTCCTCCTGGTCTCCCACGCGGGTGCAGGGCCCAAGCACTTGGGCCATCCTCCACTGCCCTCCCAGGCCACAGCAGAGAGCTGGACTGGAAGAGGAGCAGCTGGGACTAGAACCCGGGGGCCCATATAGGATGCCGGCACCGCAGGCGGAGAATTAACTAAGTGAGCCATGGCACCAGGCCTCCTTCCTGTATTTTTTTAAAATATTTTATTAATTAATTAATTTATTTATTTATTTATTTATGTGAGAGGCAGAGTTACAGAGAAAGGGAGAGAGAGAGAGAAAAGTCTTCCATCCACTGGTTCATTCCCTAAATGGCCTCAATGACCGGAGCTGGGCTGATTCAAAGCCAGGAGCTTTTTCTGGGTTTCCCAGCAGTGCAGGGGCCCAATAACTTGGGCCATTTTCTACTGCTTTCCCAGGCCATCGCAGACAGCAGGACTCAAACCACTGCCATTATGAGATTCTGGCACTGCAGGTGGAGCCCTTAACTGGTAAGTGGGAAAGCCAGAATTCAACAAGGCATTATAGCTCTCAAGTCCCTACTCCTGACCACCAAGTTCCGGTGCTTGCTCCACGTCATGAATAATGAGAAACTGAAAATGGAGCTGTGAAAAGGGAGCAGAGAAGCATATTCACATGGAAATCCTATGGCAGAACAGAGCCCTTTAATTTGTCTAAGGATGGTGGTACCTGGCTCTAGCACTAATCCTCAAACTGATCCTGGAAGAGTAAATACAACGAAATCTCAATCACAGCAGCACTTGTTTTGGTTTGTCTATGCTGCTCCTGCAGTTTTATGCGCACAAACTGTCCCACAAAGGCAAGGTGTAGTGGTTTGAGTCTACTACTCTTAAGTCCTAATCCAGAGACTAGCGAGAAGAAAACACCGAGTCCTGTGGCAAAACTGTAAGACTTTGGAACTAGTGCAGTGAGGATGGCCAAGATGCAGGCCATGTTTGTCTGAAGTGGTTGATGGGCTGCTGGGTTCTTCTGTGGTTTTCTCACCCAGTTTCCAGTTTTCTGACGTCACAGTTTCAGACATCAGAGTTCTCTTTCCAGATACTGCATGGAGGGGCTGGTGCTGTGGCGAGGCAGATAAAGCTGCCACATGCAGTGCCAGCATCCCATACAGGCACCGGTTTGAGACCTGGCTGCTCCACTTCTGATCCAGCTCTCTGCTATGGCCTAGGAAAGCAGAAGATGGTCCAAGTCCTTGGGCCCCTGCACCAGCGTGGAAGACCCAGAAGAAGCTCCTGGCTCCTGGCTTGGGATCAGTGCAGTTCCAGCCAATGCAGCCAATTGGGGAATGAATCAGTGGATGGAAGACCTCTCTCTCTCTCTGCCTCTTTTTCTCTCTGTGTAGCTCTTTCAAGTAAATAAATAAATCTTAAAAAAAAAAAAAAAAGATACTGCATCAAATTTTGAATTAACTCAAATATACACTATTAGAACCAGCAAAGAGCCGGCGCCATGGCTCAATAGGCTAATCCTCCACCTTGCGGCGCCGGCACACCGGGTTCTAGTCCCGGTTGGGGCGCCAATTCTGTCCCGGTTGCCCCTCTTCCAGGCCAGCTCTCTGCTATGGCCAGGGAGTGCAGTGGAGGATGGCCCAGGTGCTTGGGCCCTGCACCCCATGGGAGACCAGGAAAAGCACCTGGATCCTGGCTCCTGCCATCGGATCAGCGCGGTGCGCTGGCTGCAGCGGCGGCCATTGGAGGGTGAACCAACGGCAAAGGAAGACCTTTCTCTCTCTGTCTCTCTCTCTCACTGTCCACTCTGCCTGTCAAAAATTAAAAAAAAAAAAAAAAAGAACCAGCAAAGGCTGCACAGTTAATTCCTTGAATAATGCCTTTTAAATTTACCTTACTTTCCTTAACTAACATTGCCTTTCTACCCCCAAGTTAAGAGAATCACAGTAATTTTCTTAATGCTCTCATGTATAAAACTCCGCATAGTTATGAAGAGGATTAAAAGTAAAAAACAGTCACGGGGACTCACTAATAAAGTACACAGCGATATGCTCTAATTACGCCAGTATTTTCAAGTAGAGGGAGCTATTGTATAGGAAGAGAGCTGCAGAGAATGCGAGAGTGCAGTGGAGTGGCAGCAGGCCATCGGTCGGTGATATAAAAGAGCTGTCTACTTTGTCACCAGCAACCATGAATCACAACACACTTTTCATTCTGAAATATGAAACCTTTACATTTTAAGTTTGACATACTAATAAATAAGTTGGACAATCATGTCCTTCATTTCGGATGTCAGTTTTTGATGAAAGGCTTTTTTATCAGGGAGGAAGGGGAACTCCGTAATAGCATATTCCTCTCATGAAACAGAGAAAGCAGCTGGCATTACTTCATATTAATAATGAGTTATCTTTCTTAGAGAAAACTGAAACAGTAAAATACA